TTTTTTTTTTTTTGCTTTTCAATATCTTAATTGATTCTTCTATGTCCATGTTTTCATAATGTAAGAATGTGATACTTGGATTCAAATGTATATCTAATTGTTATAAACAAGGAAGTTAACCTTATCAAAAAATAATTTTATATTGTAGTAAATGGTAAATTATTGTATTTTATTTGTGTTTTAATTATGTTTTCTATTCCTGATAAAGTTAATATTAAAATAAATATAATTCAATTTATCTTTCTGTTATTTTTCTATTAAGACAATATGGAGATAATATGCAGTAGTTACATAAATAAGAATTAATTAAAAGTTTATGTTAAATATATATAAATACAGAAGAGTTTTTATATTAAATTTTGTACGAATTCGGTAAACTCAAGTGAAAAGTTATGTAAAATTGATTTTAAAAATTGCATACTGTAAATTTAATGATTTAATGAATCAAAAGTTACATTCCAGCATTTTATAGCCTAATTAGTATCGGGGTTAGATCAACAAATAACTTTATTTAGTTTTTCTTTTTAGTAATGTGCTTCAGCGTATTAAACTATCTCATTAAATTACTGAAAAAAGGAAAATATATTTACCATAGTTTACAATCTTCCGCTTATCGGGAAGCAGATTAGCAAGAGATTCTAAGGGAAGAAGAATTCGGAGAATTTGAAAACAATTGTCAGTCTGAGGTAAAAAAAAATCTCTGCCTTTTTAAGATAACATAACATTGTCTTTAATGCAAATCTTTAATGCATTGTCTTTGCAAACATAGACTTATGACCAATACTAAAAGTTCAAAGTTCGCTTGTACGGCAGTTTTTTTTTTTTTTACAAATTGTCCACTTTCCAATGTAAACATTTTCTTTCAGTTTAACGTTGTCTACAGGAATTTCAATAGAGGCTTTAAATTTCCGATTAAATTATGAAAAATTTATTTTTGCCCCTAGAAAATTGCCCTTAGAAATTTTGTCTCAAAATCTGATATAGTTTATGAGATCTTCTGCTCTTTGGTACGAGAAAGTCGATTTGATAGTTCTTTAAATCTAAGTCACTTGCCAAAATCTATAGGCTACAGACTAAGGAATTATTAATTTTCATAATTCTTTTATACAGATAATTAACTTTTTATATAGGCCTAATACTAATTATGTATAGCACAATGTACTATTACTCCATATTCTATCTTTTTACTACTAATAGGCCTAATCTATCTAGTAGTAAAGCCAATATTATAAACCTTATTATTGTGATGAAAAGAATGAAGATTGAATAAGTATTTAAAAGTGCTACAACTTTTGTCTACAATCTTTGTACAAATTGTTTTCATTTCTCAGCTTTTGCATTCCAAAATCAGTTTTTCCTAGATAAGATTGGCAAGTATAATTTATATTTTAAACTAAAATTTATGTTAATTATTACTTCTTATTTTAGTGGTTTTCAACCGGAATGTCGCAA